TTTGTTCTCTGTATCTGTGAATCTGTTTTCATTTGTTTTTTCTGTTTGTTTTGTTTTTTGGAGTCCACATATAAGTGAGATCATACAGTATTTGTCTTTCTCTGTCTGACTTATCTCATTTAGCATAAGACCCTCTAGATCCATCCATGTTGTTAAAAATGGTAAGATTTTATTTATTTTTTTATGGCTGAGTATATTCTATGTGTGTATGTGTATGTGTGTGTGTATATATATATAATATATATATATACACACACCATGTTTAATATATATATATATATACACAAACACACACACACACACCACATCTTCTTTATCCACTTGTCTATCCATGGGCACTTACCTTGGCTGTTTGTAAATAATGAGGCAGTGAACATTGGAGTGTATATATCTTTTCAAATTAGCGTCTTTGTTTTCTTCGGGTAAATACTCAGAGGTGAAATTACTGGATCATATGGTGGTTCTATTTTTAATTTTTTTAAAGAACCTCCATACTACTTTCCATAGTGGCTGCACCAATTTACAATCCCACCAATAGTGCACGAAGGTTCCTGATGATAGCTATTCTGACAGGTACAGTAAACATTTTAAAGACAATAACAATAAACTTTTTCTTATCTCTGCCAAGAGTGGGACTTAATGGTGATTCTGTAGAACTGCATTTTTTCAGCTTCACATTAACAACAAAAGATACTGCTTATTAGTACCCTAGCAGTTTTGCATTTATAACATAGCAGTTCAGTATATGTATGCCAGGTATTAATCTACCTGGGAACAGAAGCCACCTCATGGAGTTAGCTGCCCAGAAATTATACAGGCCCTATAGATGTTCCATTGTACACTTGGGGCTCATGTTTAATCCCCCATAGGATTTTAGGTTTATTTTCTTTTCCTAATACCGGATCTACTCTGGACAATAGTTCTTAGACAGTGAGCATTTGCACCTACTGCTGAATCTTGATGTCTTTGGGCATTGTAGCATGTCTTATACATTTCACTGCTATCTTCGTTTCCTTGGGCTGCCTTAACAAAGTAGCACAAACTGAGTGGTTTCAACAACAAAAATGTATTACCACACAGTTTAGGAGGCTGGAAGTCCAGGATCAAGGTGTTGGCAGGATTGGTTCCTTCTGATGGCTGTGAGGAGGAATCTGTCCCATGTTTGTCTCCCAGCTTCTGGTGATTAGCTGACAAACTTTGGTGTTTCTTGACTTCTAGAAGCATCACCCTGATTTCGGCCTTCATCTTCATATGGCATTCTCCCTGTATGCCAGTCTATCTCCAAATTTCCCCTTTTTATATGAACACCATTCACATTGGATTAGGGCCCACCCTAATGACCTCAACTTAACTAATTACATCTGCAATGAACCTATTACCAAATAACATCACATTCTGAAGTACTGGATGTTAAAACTTCAATGTAAGAATGGGCGGGGGAGGGGGAAGCACAATTCAACCCATAATAACTACGTATCTCATTATAACTCCAGACTTCATTTCTGCCATGTTGGTGTCAGGCTTAGCCATGAAATTGCTTTGGCCAATAAAGTGTGAGTAGAAGTGATGTGTCTGCATCTAAGCAGAAACTTGTTAAGAATTTTTTCCTTCTGCCATGAAACTAGCCATATTCCAGATAGAGGCTATTTCATCAGCCTGTGTCTCAAGAGTTAGAGTGACATGGAACAGAGCAACAGCTAACTTTCAGTGAATATGTAGCACAAGAAGGAAATAACCCCTTATGATTTTAAGCAACCAAGACTTTGGGTTCATGTGTTACTGAAGCATTAACTTAAGGTAGCTGACACCATAAGTTCACTCGTAATGTGTGGGTTTTTTTCATTCATTCATCAGATATTTATTAAAAGCTTGCTATGTGCTAGGCATAGCACTGTGTGTTGGACACTCTGATGGTTAATTTTATCTGTCAACTTGCCTAGGCCACACTACCCAGATATTTGGTCAAACACCAGTCTAGATTGTTCTGTGAAGATATTTTTCAGGTAAGATAACGTTTCAATCAGTAGACTTTAAGTAAAGCAAATTACCCTCCATAATGTAATTTGGCCTTGATTCAGTCAGCTAAAGGCTGTAAGAGAAAAAAAAGACTGAGGTTCCCCCAGGAAGAGGGAATTCTGCCTCCACACTGCCTTCAGACTCGAGCTGCAACATGAGCTCTTCCTTGGGTCTCCAGCCTGCTGGAGCTCTGCAGATTTTGAACTTGCTAGCTCCCACAAATCTCATGAGCCAATTCCTAGAAATAAATCGCTATATATATATATATATACACACACACATCCTATTGGTTCAGTTTCTCTGGAGAAATCCGATTAATACACAGTCAGTGAACAACCTAGAAATAGTCCTCATAGAGCTTATAGTCTAAGGAAGAATACAGACAAATAAACAGAAAAAAAGACAATGTTATGTAGTAAATGCTGGGAATGCTTCATGTCATAGGAACACATAGGAGGAGCATCTAACCATGACTTGAGGAATCAGAGAAGGCTCTCTGGAGGAAATGAAGTCTAACTTGAGAACTGAAGGTGGCAGGTGGAATAGGAGTTAGCCAAGTGAAGGGACGAGGTTGTGGAGAGCAGGGCTTAGATCGAATGCAGAACATGCATTCTTAACAGGGGCATTATTGCCCGCAAGAGGGAGAAACTGGTGCTTGGCAGGTGAAATAAATCTTGGTTATTACAATGTTTTGTGATCCTCCAAAGCTCAACTCTATCCGACAAAATCTTATTCCTTAATATTTAATGAGGGAGCGGGGGAGACATGATTAGAAAAAATGTCTAAAAAGTCTCCATGGTTGGGGGAGGGGGGTGCACAGTGGTGACAAAAAGAAAAGGCTGAGAAACATTGGTGTAGAAAGACCTTTTGGGTAAGGGAAGGATCACATACGGAGCTTGTGAGAGAAGACTATAGCATATTTAACAGGTCAGAATGGTTGAGGTATACAGTGGGAAGGAACAGAGGCACAGAGAGTCATGGGAGAAGAGTCTCATCTAGATACAAATGTTAAAGAAAATTAAATCTTAAAAATGCATTTTGACTGCAATTATCCAAATATTTTAGGTGAAATTGGACTTTGTCTAAATTGTCTACTGTAGACTATGCTCACTTTTATATATGAATTTCTACTTTGTGTTTGGAGTCATAGATTAAATGAATCATTAACTTTAAACATGTTTTAGAGATGACAAAGAACAACTGTTAGAATACCTTTCCTATCTTTCTCAGAGTTTTAGTTTTATAATTGTAGTCTCTATAACAGCATCATGTTCAGGTGGGCATTTAATCATTAGGCTGTTCTGGAAGGCACATTAACCTCTGGAGAATTTGCGTGTGATTTACTTCACTGGAGTTTCAAAGATTAAAAATATGAGAGTAAAAAGATATTTTTCTTGGTTCCATTATTGGGAATAGATGAGAACAATGGTCTGTTTAATAACCATTATCATTATCTCCCTCCCAGATGGAATTAAAATTACTTTAATATTCTATTAGGAAAATCTTTGCAAAAATGCTGCCAATCCTTTTTTTTTTTAAATTTCCAGCAGCTTGGCAACAATGAACTCAAAACTAATTCAGTGCTTTTGAGAGATAATATAAACTTAATTTTACACTCTAAAGGACTAAAAAATTGCATGCTCTTCCATAATTTTAGCTTTTAATATTTTTATACCCCAGCCCTAACTTGCTTGATGTGAGTAGACCTGACCTAAATGTCTAATATACTTTTTTTTTTTTGCGGTACGCGGGCCTCTCACTGTTGTGGCCTCTTCCGTTGTGGAGCACAGGCTCCGGACACGCAGGCTCAGCGGCCATGGCTCACGGGCCTAGCCGCTCCACGGCATGTGGGATCTTCCCGAACTGGGGCACGAACCTGTGTCCCCTGCATCGTCAGGCGGACTCTCAACCACTGCGCCACCAGGGAAGCCCTCTAATATACTTTTTTAAGAGACAGCATTCTAGTAATCAAAGGTCTTGTTAAGTAAAAGACAGTATGCAGAAACAGTACTGAATATGTGTTCTGAAGTCACACTACCTGGGTTCACATCCTGAGTTGAATCTGTTTGGGTTTAAATGCTACTAGGTTTCGTGAATTGGGCAGATGTAAAGTTACATGATCTTATCCTCTGTGTACCTCACTTTCCTCACGTGTAAATTATGGCTCATAGTAGAACCACTACATCAAGTTGTTGTAAATATTAAATGAGTTAATTATTTAAGACACTTAGAACAGTGCCTCGTACATACTTAGTATCCAGTAATGTTACCTACTATTATTATTATTTAGAACTCCTTATTAAGTAGTTTTAAAACCATTTGTTTTGGTGCTTCCTGTATGCCATACAAGGAACTTAATTGTGAAACTGTTAGTACACCTGGCCTAAAATGATCTTCACAGCATGACTCAAGTATTTATTTATTTATTTATATGTTTTGTTGCACCGGGTCTTAGTTGCGGCTCACAGCCTCCTTAGTTGCAGCTCGCTGGCTCGTTAGTTGTGGCATGTGAACTCTTAGCTGCGGTATGCGGGATTTTTAGTTGCAGCGTGCATGTGGGATCTACTTCCCTGACCAGGGATCAAACCTGGGCCCCCTGCATTGGGAGTGCGGAGTCTTATCCACTGCACCACCAGGGAAGTCCCCTCAAGATATTTCTTTAAACTGACTTTTTTTAGTATCATTATTGTTCTCTTCAGTATAGTTCAGGTCTTTAAATTGATTTATTTTTTTAGGCTAGGGTGATATTTTTGTTCTTAGGTGAGAAGATAAACATCTAAGGTTCATAAGGAAAAACACTCCTTAGAGCAGTAGGTGGGAGATGAATTCCTCTTCAGAACTTTGTATTGGCGTCTAGAATTTATCTCTACAGTACTGCTTTTTCCATGGTGCCAATAGGGAAAAGCAAGAGTTACCCATGATTTTCTGGCATTTTTGTTTTGATTAAAGAAATTTTAAAACCTTTCAATATTTATATCTTTCAGAAAATGTCTTTGAAATTCAAAAATGCAAAACGAATTGAAGGCCTTGATAGCAATGTGTGGTGAGTACATTAGAATAAACAATAATCATTGGGTGAAGTTTTTTTCCTCCACATGTTTATATCCTTATTTGGGAATTTTTAGCTTTATCTATAGTCTATAAATAAAACCACTTATTTTAATTCATCCATTCAGTGGAAATGGAAGGAAATAATGATTCATATACTGATTTATTCACTTAGCAAATGTGCCAGGTCCTGAGCTAGGCACTGGAAATGGACAGAGAAAATGACAGATTGGGTGGATGCCCTTGTGGAGCTTATCTTCTAATCCATCAACTTTTCCTATTAGCCCTCCTTTCTAATGGTTGATAAGAGAACCTAGCAGCAGATGGTTGAGAAAAATATTTATATGATTAAAATATGGGCATCATGGAACTGAGATTTGTAAGAAACATTAAGTTCATCAGTTCAGCCATAATTTTTCCGGGTAAAGTCATTTTGTAGACGGTAAAATTTTTGTCGTGAACTCATTAATTTTGTTTGATCTGTAAGACTAAACTAAGTCTTATTTTTCAGTCTCTAAAGACTATGAGGTATAAACAGCTAACTTTGTAATTTTAGTACTTACTAATGTTACTATTTTTTACCTTAGGATTGAATTTACCAAGTTGGCTGCAGACCCCTCTGTTGTGAATCTTGGCCAAGGCCTTCCAGATATATCCCCTCCTGTATATGTAAAGGAAGAATTATCAAAGATTGCAGCAATTGATAGTCTGAATCAGTACACACGGGGCTTTGTAAGTATATGAGGACTATGTGGGGTGTGAGCTTGTATTTTATATTGTATTGTGCGTGAATGTACTTCTACCACTTCTCCGTAATTGGCTTTCTGGAACCAACTGTCCCAACTTGATAACCAGAGGAACACTCACCCTTACCCTTATCTCCTAGGATGAGCTGTCCCCTACTTCCAGCTTCTCCACAGTCCTGTCATGGCCCTTCGTTTACCGTTGTTCCAGGATGAGGTCCTACGACAAGCAGGGAAGGAGAATATTCACTTTAGACATATTTTCTCTCCCTTTCAAACTTATGCAGCCTCAGCACTGGCTTCTTACTTAATATTCTCTATTTCCAACTAGTTACTTTCTTCCTTTCTACCTCAGCACAACCTGCATCTTTCTGTGGTGGAATGCCTAGGATATCCAGAGATTTCATAGATTCTACTAAAAAAAAATTACCACAAGTCTTCTTGACCATTCATGCAGGAACCCTCTGAAAATAGGAAAAAAGATATTTTAATTTATTGCCATTTAAAAATACAAATTGGAAAATTATAAGACCCAGATGTTAAAAATTCTTACATTTTAGAGCCAAACCATCTCAAAGAAGTAGGTCCCATAATTAAATTTAAGGTTTTGTTCTTCCTTTTACTCAACAGGGTCATCCATCACTTGTGAAAGCTTTGTCCTGCCTATATGAAAAGTTTTATCAAAATCAAATAAATCCAAATAAAGAAATCCTTGTGACAGTAGGAGCATATGGATCTCTTTTTAATGCCATTCAAGGATTAATTGATGAGGGAGATGAAGTAAGTATATTAACATTATCATGTTGCCTATATTAATCACTATCATTTGTCCTGCTTTTATTTTTACTTATTTTATACTCTTTTTTATTTGAATTATTTTTGAAGTATAAGTTATGTACAGTCAAGTTCACAAATGTTAAGTACAGCTTAGTAAATGTTTATATGTATATGTGTATGTATGTCTCCATGTAACCACAAACCAGATGAAGATATAGTACATTTCCAGCAACCCAGAAGGTTCCCTTTTGCCCCTCCATAGTCTATATTCTTCCAGAGGTAACCGCTCTTCTGTGTTCTGTCACCATAGGTTCATTTTGCCGGCTCTTTAACTTGATATAATAGAATCATACAGTATGTACTCTTGAGTCTGGCTTCTCTCATTTATCATTTTGTCTGTGAGATTCATCCATTTTGTTGCATGTCATTTATTCTTATATTTACAGCCTATTTAGATAAGAGAAGGTAAAAGGGGCTAGCAGTGATGCGGGAAAATGAATCTTAGTTTTCACTGCTAAAATAACCTTTAATCTGAACTCAATCAACAAGTGTTTGGTTCCTGTCTTTTTGTACCCTGTATTGTTAGCAGCACTGTGTGAGGGATGTATAACAAGAAGGCTGAGTGATTTCTTTATTTAGTGATGTGATATAAAACCCACTTTGGCACTGACCTCAGTCAGCTCTGCCCCTAATTCCCCATTATCATTCCAATACCCCTGCTTCAGTATTTCCTCACCTGTTTCATTTATTCAGAATTTATTGAGGATACGCTAGACATTGTGGGAGAGATTTTTAAAAGACGGTTTCTGTGTGGAAAGGGTTCCCTGTTTAGTAGAGGAGATAGACTTGTAAACAGATGAGGAGGAATGCAATGCTATAGGCGGTCGTGGGGAATGTATAAGTTACCATGGTGACAAGAGGAAGAAGTGATCAGCTCTGCTAATATAGGTCTGGAAAGCTCTAGAGAGGTGTTGGTTAAGCTGGGTGTGAAGAATGAATATTTGCCGTGATCTGTATTGTTAATTCCTTTCTTTGAATTCTCCCCGCACTTTATCTGTACCTTCTTTATGAAAGATACCTGTTACTTTGTGTTACATTATCCTTTTACATCTCAATTCACTCTACTACAGCCAAACAGTAAGCTACTTAAGGAGAAATGGTAAGGAAGTACAGTCATACTTTCATATACGTAATCTCCTTTATTCCTATAAAGTAGTTGAAAGTTTTATCTGAGACTTTGGTGTTGTTACTCCTTTGTTGCTTCTTCCTACTCTGCACTTTATTGGTGTGTCCTAGGGCTCAGCCCTTGGCCTTCTTTCCTCTATTCTTTCTTCCCTGATCATCTTATCTAATATTTTGAAACCACACACACCACTTTCCATCATACTGACCTATTATTTTCCTTATAGTATTTATTACTATGTGAAATTAGCTGATTTACTTCCTTGTTTTCTTATTTATTATACATGTCTTGCAGGAGAATGTAAGTTCCAGGAAAACTAGTTTATCGCTATAGAGCTAACACCTGAAATAGTGAGTGCTCAGTAAATATTCTTCAAAAAGAGAGGGGAATTATTTCCATTGTAAAAATAAGGAAATTTCAGGGAAGCATGTTAAGTATATTCTTCAGTTCCACCTCGCTGCCTTCCCAATTTACTTTCCTTCATTGAGCTCTCACTTCCTACCAGGCACTGTTTCTCACCAGGGCTACAAAGATGGGTCATCTTAGTCCCCAAGAATTTCATAGTCTAATTAAGAACTTGAGGAAAAGATTCATTCCTGGCTCATTTCTTTGTCCTCCACAGTACCCAACACATAGCACATTGTATAGGAACTACTCAGTGTGAGTTGGATGACTAGTACAAACAAAGGGGCTTTAGAATATAAGGGTCTCCTATGACTCCAATGAGAAAGGCCTTGAAAAAGAAGTACAAGCAGTGAAAAGTGCAAATTTAGGGTGATAATTAGGTACCATGAATTTAACCAACACAAACTTAAATGCGGCAGTTTAGTGTAGACTTGTAAAATTATAAATTGTTGCCAGATTTTTTCACAAGCAGTTTGACTATATATATAAAGTACCATAAAACATATTTATACCCTTTAGTCTAGCAGTAGCAATCATGTGAATTTATTCAGCAAATGATTTTAAAATGGAGATACTATGCATAGTTACAAGTGAACATTGCAGTGTTATTTATACAAGCAAACTATAACAAAATTATTCTAGAATTCAATAGACTCTCAAATAGCCTTTAAAATAATAAGTGCTAAAACTAAATAATATTAAAGTTTTTGTGAAATACTTCTAAGTTTAAAAAAGATAGAAAAATCAAATGTGTACAATAGATATAAATTATGTGTTCAAACCCTCCTTATAGAAAAGCAAAAAGTTAGGGATGCTAGGTCCAGGCTGGCATACTGCAGAAGGAATACCAACTGGACAGGTTAGTCTGGCCCACTGACCTGAAAGCCAGGCCATGAGTGATTGAGAGAGAGCCTGTAGGAGAAAAGGAACAGGAAGTATATCTCAAGGGGCTAGGAAAAAAGGATCCAGATATAAGTCATCTGGAGGGAAATTGTGGTTATCAGACATTAGCAGTAGCATCCCGTCTACCTGCATACGCTTTTTGTTTAGGGATACTTTTGAGAAACGACAAACGTCTTTACTCTCAGGATAATACTAATAAATTAGTACTCCACAGCGGAGAGCATCAGTTGCAGTGCTCTCTTTCCTTATGGTCTTGCTCTGCCACTGATCATTTATTTTCTAATTTGAAATTTAAACTCAATGTTTTTGTCTGGAACATCCCTTTGAGAATGTGATGAGAGCTATGACCCCTTTCCCCAGAAAAATATACCTATGCATGTAAAAAATTTTACATACAATTCCAAGGGTCCCACTGCAAGCCTATCCACAGATCTCCCTAAGAGATCAAGGGCTCCAATTAAGGATCCCGACAAGTTTATCCCCAAGGTCTTTTTCACTCAGATATGAGAAGACAAAGCCTGCTTTCTACACTGCTGCATCTCAGCATGTAGTATAGTGCCTTGCACATAGTATGTACACAATATTTGTTAAACGGATTAATGATTAATATGTTGTGTTATTTGGTTTTATTCCAGGTCATAGTGATAGTGCCTTTCTATGACTGCTATGAGCCCATGGTGAGAATGGCTGGAGCAATACCTGTTTTTATTCCCCTGAGATCTGTAAGTTTGCCCCTATGATTCACATGTTTTAAGAAGTTTTGTAAATACCATTACTTTGTTGCCAGTAAAGTTCCTACTTTGATTACATTTTGGGATTTACTATATATCTCTACTGTGACTGAAGGTAACAACTTTAAAGGGGGATCTTTTATTACTTTATCTTGTGTTTGCACGTCTGTCTGTTGTATCAGCGTCTACATTGTGTGTAATACTAGTTTTTGTGGTTATGTGTCTCCCCTATTGACTGAGCACCACCAGGTCAGAAACCATTTCTGACTCACTTTTATAGCTCTGGTCCCCGGTGACTAACAGTGTAGGGTATATGCTGGGTGCTCAATAAATGCTTATTGAATTCTGAATGAAGTAATTTTTTTTAAATTCTGCTTTTATCTTTAGGAATACAGTATAGATCCATTGTCTTTTTAAAATTTTCATCAAAATAAGTGATACAAGGTGAATCACAGAATCTTCTATTAGTCTTATAGTATCAGATGTGTTAACCATAGTTAGAGCTGGCTCCTTTGAAGGAATATAGGCACTTTCACAGCCATTAATGTTGACAGAGTTCATGTTTCCAATTAACAGGTATGAGCATGGAACTCACATCCTGTTGGGCTCTTAAGGCAGAGTAAAGCTTAGTTATTTCTATTTCTTTTCTTTGTTTGTCATCTGTTCAGTTACCTTTGCCATGGCTTTCTCTACTTTTTTTTCCTTGTTAGGTTACTTTTTTGTAGGACAGCAAACATAAATTAACTGAATTAAATCACATCTTCATTCTTCATGCTTAGAAACTTGTTGATGGGAAAAAATGGTCTAGTTCTGACTGGACATTAGATCCTCAAGAACTGGCAAGCAAGTTTAATTCCAAAACCAAAGCTATAATACTAAATACTCCGCATAACCCCCTTGGCAAGGTGAGTCTTTGATATCTTTATACAATCTTCTGGTCCATCATTTTCTCACATGTTGAATAATTGGCTCTGCTCCTTTGTTTCCTTTCATATGTGTAGGTGTATACCAAAGAGGAACTCCAAGTAATTGCTGACCTTTGCATCAAATATGACACACTCTGCATCAGTGATGAGGTTTATGAATGGCTTGTGTATACTGGAAATAAGCATTTTAAAATAGGTACCAATTATTACATAGAATCACAAATCTAAATGTGTTTGGGCACGTGTGGAACATCTGATTGGAAAGGATCCCAGAAGAGCTTTAAAATAGTCTTTGTAATGGGTAAATGTCTGTGAGTGCTTAAAAATGGGCCTTGAATGAATGATGCTTGAGTGAATTTATGAGCAGATTGAAGGACAAGCAGTACAAACTTAGGAGATGAGATTTTGGATCACACTATAAAACTATGAAACCAGAGAAGTAGTACTTTTGCCTTTATTTTTAGCTTTTTTCAAGAATCTAGCTATTACTTGGCATATAAGACATAGGGAACTTAATTGTTCCTGAACTGCTGAGCAGGTTGCCAAAATGCCAGGTCAACAGGAAAAAACTGTCACGACAGTAAGGTATTGCTGCGTGGCCCTTGCCTGGAATTTCACCATTACTACTGGGCCATCTCACAAAAGCCACAGTGTCTTCTGAGGTAATCCAAACTTATATCAACTATAGGGTTATAAACTGGGCTGCAACCTTTGGGTCTTTGCACTTGCCCTACCTATACCTGGAAACACTTTTCGCCAGATATCCAAATGGCTCAGTCTGTCACCTCTCTGGGGTCTTTATTCAGATGTCAAATTTTTTTTTTTTTTTTTTTTGTGGTACGCGGGCCTCTCACTGTTGGGCCTCTCCCGTTGCGGAGTACAGGCTCCGACACGCAGGCTCAGCGGCCATGGCTCCCGGGCCCAGCCGCTCCGCGGCATGTGAGATCTTCCTGGACCGGGGCACGAACCCGTGTCCCCTGCATCGGCAGGCGGACTCTCAACCACTGCGCCACCAGGGAAGCCCCAGATGTCAAATTTGATGACCACAACATTTAAGATAGTTACACCTCTCCTTCCAGCATTTTCTTTGTCCTTTTTCCATTCTGTTTTTGTTTTTTCCTCTATAACAAATATCAGGATCTATATATTTTACTTTGAACCTGCAAGTAGGTAGGAATTTTTAAATGTTTTGGTCTCTTCTGACTCCTTAGTTCCAAGAAAGTGTCTTGTGCATGGTAGACAGTCAGAAAGTAATTGTTGAATAAAATGAATAGGAAGTGTGAAAATGGTGAGGGAAGGATAACTAAAATCACTGGCAGGAACCAATAAATTTTAAAATTAGTGCACTTATATATAAATAGTTTTTGCACATATCATAATTATCTGCGGCAAATTACAAATTGTTGTAGAGACACAGAGGAGAAAGCAACTGCTTCAGGTGATCAACAAAGGAGTGGGCAAAAGATGGGACTTAGTTAGGCAGAGAAATAGAAAGAAAATTCCTATCAGATAAACTTTTATGCACTGAGGCAAGGAGGCATGAAAGATCAAGATATACTTAAGTGGTAGAAGGGTGTGTTGCAGTAACTGGCACAGATGAGAGTGGAAAAGTAGGGTGATTCTGAAGGACTTTATATATGAGGATAAAGAGTTTAAACTTCATTGAGGGGGTCAGTGGTTCTGAAACTTACTTTAGTGATAGAGCATCTTAAAGTCATGATGTTCACATCATGAGATAGTGACAATACATACTTATTTCATCATGAAACTAGAGGCAATTTTCTTAACAGAAATTCAGTAATTAGAAGTCAGTGTAAAAACTACAAGTCTGTGTGTATTCACCTGTAACAAAGTGCTATTGAAACAAATACATCTGAGTTTTTCTGATTTTTGCCATTAATGTTCATTTTCTAATGCTCATTTGTTTCACTGTTGGTAGCATTCACTATCAGATAAGTGGTAGCACTTACCTTAAGTGCTTAAAATTTTGTGGCTTAAGAAAATTTTGTGGAAAACTTAATATTGATTTTTTTAAGTTCTATTTAAAAACTCAATAATTAATTTGATCATCAGGGTACCAGTGAGCATACTTTGAGAACTACTGCAACAGGTAGTGACGAGGCAGGATAATTAGTTCCATACTGGATTTGTTTTATAAAGGTAAGAACCAGCTGAGGATCTTAAGTCAGATGCCCTGGCCGTGGAGATGATACATGAGGGCTGCTTAGAAGTAAAATCTATAGGGCACAGAATATAGCATTTGAAGGTGGAAAAGCAAGCAAGTGTGATTCTGAGATCTCTAGCCTGGACCACTAGGCAGTGATGAGGCCCTTACCCAGGGACGGAGGTGTGGGAGGAGGAACAGATCTGTGGGGAAGAGCTGAGCAAAGGAAATTCCTGCTTCTCATGCTCTAGTCTTGCTAAGTTCCAGTGTCTTTGAGACATAGAGGAGGAGATGTCTAGAAACAAGTAGAATTATAGGCCTGATCGTCAGGATCAAATTGTGAAGGGATTTATTTTTGGCAGTCATCAAACTTTTGTTGATAGTGGAACCCATGGAAGAGAATGAATCTTCTAAGGAAGAATGTATAAACAGAGAAGAGGGTCAGAGATTTGCAAGATATGGTGCCTTAGCCCAGCAGACTTCTGTTATTTGTCAAAATTGCGTCACAGCTCACCTTCTCACATCTTGATGATCTCTGTCTCAGGTCACTAACTTCTTCCCAGTTGAAAATCAGATCAACATGGACAATTAAATGTTTTGGTAATTTTTTTAGATTAAGCAGAGAGAGGAAGAGGTTATCTATCTAATGAATAAATATAATTTTATACTTAACATTTTACATGTTTTACAAATGTTCATGCCTATGCAATGACTCAAAGCTTTAAAAAATTTAGTTAACTCAGTTTAGCAATATTCTTTCCAAAATATTACTTTAAATGATCTTGAAATTTATTGTTTAAACCTTATATTATAAGCCCTTCATGGTAAAAGTGTAAATGATGATGTTATTTCCTAAAGATATCATATATTTTTAACTCAGATTTTTTAGTTGTTTTAACAACTCATAAAGTTAAAACAAGAAAAAAATGAATTCACTATTTCATTATTTAGAGAGTACAAATGTGTGAAAACTTATTCTATTAAATACAGTGGCCTTTGTTACATGAAAGATGCTAAATGGCTCTTCCATCAATTTACAGAGTGCAATAGTAGCTCTTTAATATAATACAGTAAGGCTTGCTGGCCATACATCATGAAATTAGCATCATCTTCATGTTGTCACAGAGGCAGTTTTTCCTGGTGTAGTTTTCACTCTTCATCATGTCTCTCATCTTTATCTGACTTCCAATGAAGCCTAAGTCACCTGTGAATAACTGTTATAGCTGCTGTGGCTGATTTAAGGATCATGGGTCATAAATGAGAAGTACAAAGACCAGCTGCCTTTCAGGTATAACTGCAAGCTAAACTTACCAATACTGGAACTGAATATGTTTTTTTAAAATCATCAGACCTGCAAAGATTTTTTTTTATTTCTTTAGGTTACTATATTCACATGCAGTGCTGTGGTCATCTGCTCTGCCTGTCTGTTTACATTAACTTCTGTAGCTCCCCAGATCTCTGAGATGGAGAGGACATGGACATTCAATGTTTTAAATTACTTAGGGCCCTTTTTATTGAAATAGTAGAACTTGTTCTTACTGAATCAGATTCTTGACTCAAATGATTTCTGCAGGTTTCAGTAAAATGACATTACAGTCAACAAATGAAACCTCTCTTCTGGAAGAGATTATACTAATACACTGATATTTATATACTAATCCATTGATATTTGGAAAATTAGTATAAAATTCCTTGTAAATTATTTAGCTGATCAGCTTACTCCTTGAAAAAAAGACATCCACTTTTATATGGCCAAAATAGCCATCAAGAAATTACTTAGCTCTCCTTTTAAATTTATGCTATAGTTAGATTTGATATTTTGTGAATGAAACCTACATTTGATGTGTGCATAGTTTTTATTTCCTTCATGTATAACTTATTGTTAAAACATATTAGTATTATATTAGTTTGGGTAATTTTTATTTTCAAAGAATTTATTTCTAAATATTGTTTTTACTAATAGGCCTTCCTGATTTTGGATATATATTATTACTTTAAAGGAAGGGATAATCTGCATTATACATAGTTTGGATTTTTCTGTGATCAAATAGGAAAGTGGGACATCTGTCGTGTCCTTTGGAATATTTTAGAAGACTAAATAGAAGACTAGAAATGTCTCAAAACTTGAAAGGATATGGTTATTTACATCAAATGTTAGAATATTCCTTCTTCGAATGGACCCTCTGAATATTTTCTTCATTTGTCTTTTTGGGTTTTCTTATACTTCACAGAGAATACAGTGGTAACTTTTCTGATTTATATTGTTTTTCTGCCTTTACAAATGTTGACAGGTATTTCGTGATAGGCTAAAATTGCATATGTATCCATTCTGGAACTTTCTTTAGCTATCTTACATTTTAGTAGGCACTTTACTTGCTTATGAGAAGATTACTTCAAGAAGACAGTAACTTAGCCCCCCAGAAATGGGTATTTATTTTCCCTTTGTGCATACCAACACTCTTAGAACAATATAAGAGCATCTATTGTACCTCTAAAAAAAAAGGTGAAAAACTTGTGTGATTGCACGTGAAGAATTTCACAACTAAATTACTTGAGGAATCCAAAAAACAGTTTTGTAGGTAGCATTCTCAGATTAGCAGAGGAATAATTTACCGATGTCCAACAGAATTCACCAACTCTTGTATTTTATACCTCCATGAGTTTGATACCTGCATCCCCTTTGTCCAAAACACCTTTTTTTCCCCTTCTCTACCCAGCAAAGCCCTATGTGGTCATCCAAGTCTCACCTCAAGCATTACTGACTGCAGAGAACTACCCCTAACACCATCTCCTATCCTTGCAGAATATTCCATGCCTGTTGCTATTATAGCACTTATCACACTGTAATATAATTGTTCTTCTTGTCTCCAACCCCCACTAGACATTAAGCTCCTTCAAGATAGGAAATGCATCTTTCTTGTCATTGTTTCCTCTAGACCTAGCTTAGTACCTGGCACCTGATCATTGCTAATAAATGTTTGATGAGTGTATGAATAAGTGAATGAATGATTTTACTAAAGGTATCAATCAACTTGAAAATTTTTATATAGTCATTTGCCATTTTCATGGAATCTGTATTTGTGAATTCATCTACTCACTAAAATACATTTGTAACCCCCAAATCACTAGAGTGCTTCATTTGCAGACATGTCCAGAGGGGTGAAAAATTTGAGTTGCCTGACATGGATGTTTCCAGTTAATGTCAACAAGGCAACACTATGCCTTCTTATTACAGCTTGTTCTATAAGCAAGTGTTCTTTTCACAGTGGTTTTGCTATTTTAAATGGCCCCCAAATATAGTGCTGAAGTGCTGTCTAATGCTTCTAAGAGCAGGAAAGCTGTGTTGTGCATTACAGAGAAAATACATGTGTTAGATAAGCTCCATTCAGGCATAAGTTCTAAAATTATTGGCCATGGGAATATTAGTGGTTGATACCTAATAGGTATAGGGCTTCTTTTGGGGTGAAAAAAAATGTTCTAAAATTGATTGTAGTAATTGTTGCTCAACTTTGTGGATATGGTACACTTAAACGAGTGAACTATATGTCATGGGATTTATATCTCAGTAAGTTATTTATAAAACACATACACACACTCACACACATGCATGCAGATTGTTGACCCTTCCCCAGAGTTTCTGAGGATCCAAGAATTTGCCTTTCTTACAAGTTCCCCAGTGATACTGCTATTGCTGTGTGGGGACTGTATTTTAAGAACCATTGCCCTAGGAATCCTGTAGAAATAGACTCAGAAAATGGGCAGAGTAGAGGTGAGCTAAACACTAGCCAGAACCACAAGCAAAACTGTGCCACAGAATGATTATGCTGGGCACCCAGCTACTACTAACACTGAGCACTGAGTGCTGTTGCTCCTGTGACCACAGCACTCAAGGCCTGGAGCGCTGCCTGCTGGCACCTCTGCCATTCCTGCCCTGGGAGATAATTTTGCCACTTAAATGTTTTCAAGCATGGTAACATTTTCAACTGTGTTTGGGTTAAAGTTAAATTATCTCTAAAAAAACCTATTGAAATAACTATACTGACTATATTATAAGGCATTTGTGTTTTTAGATTATACTGAGTGTAGACTGACTATAAAGCAATTATCTAACCTTTTTTTTTTTTTTTTTTCTTTTTTCTGTTCAGCCACTTTTCCAGGTATGTGGGAGAGAACAATAACGATAGGAAGTGCTGGAAAGACTTTCAGTGTAACTGGCTGGAAGGTAAGATGAAGAAGAATTTAACTGTTTGAAAACAGGCCTGTATTTTACTTCTTGTAGAGTTTTTTGTGTTTTAAATGCATAGATATTCAGTTTACCCAGGGTTTTATACTTACTAATCTGCTTATTTACTCATTCAGTTTTCATATTGGCCTTTATCCTTTTTGAGACTTAATCATTCCTTTAAAAGTAAGAAAAATTAGGTAATTTTTAGATTTTATAAGTAACCAACTAATGGTACTCTTTTCTTTGCAAAGAATGTTCAGATTACTGTATATTAATATAAAAGGAGAAAAAATAATAGCTAACATTTTGGCACTTACTATGTGTCAGGTTCTAAGAGCTTTCCATATACTGATTCCTTTCATTCTCATAACCACATTATGAGGTGGGTATAATTTATTATTCCCATTTACAGACAATAAAACTAAAGTACAGAGAAACTAAGTAACTTGCTTAAGGTTACCTTGCTAATGAATTCGAATTCAAGCCAGGACAGGAAGTCTAGGTTCAGAATCCACACACTTAACCACTGCACTATGTAGTACAATCACAATTGATCCAATTGAAACTTGGTTGTCTTCCAACTTCACCTCTTCTAAACTTGGCTAAGAAGCAGAGAGTATCAAAAATGAGGGCTGGAGAACCAAATTATGGAAGACTCCCTTACGGCCCTCATTCAGAGTTACTTTTACCTATATTGAAGTCAAACAAGTTTTTTTTTTGTGTGTGTGGTGTGCGGGCCTCTCACTGTTGTGGCCTCTCCTGTTGCGGAGCACAGGCTCCGGGCACGCAGGCCCAGCGGCCATGGCTCACGGGCCCAGCCACTCTGTGGCATGTGGGATTTTCCCGAACCGGGGCATGAACCCGCGTCCCCTGCATCGGCAGGCGGACCCTCAACCACTGCGCCACCAGAGAAGCCCAAAGTCAAACAAGCTTTTTACTGGTCATTAGACCTCCAGAATATTAGAAGTAGCAAATCAAAGAGAGGGGAAGATAATAATGATTGCAGGCACTGTTTACCTTCTGAAGGCAGAATTTAGTGACTCCAGTTGGAAACTATTCCACAAAATGATCAGGGTTGAAATGTTTCTAACTACTAAGACTACACTACTTTCATAGTGTGAGCATTCTAGAAATGCATATATCTAATAATTACATTAAGCTTACCTACTCTATCAAATTTGGTACTTACAATTAGATTCATTTTTTAAATCTACTTTTCTTTTCCAGCTTGGCTGGTCCATTGGTCCTAAACATTTGATAAAACATTTACAGACAGTTCAACAAAATACCGTTTATACTTGTGCGACTCCTTTACAGGTAGGCCTTATAGTAATTTGGGGCTGATGCATGGTCTTTGGGTGGAAGTGTTAGTTTTATGTTGTGTACTTGAATTGGCTTCATTCCTCCCTTCATGTCCTTTTTGAGCAGGGCTTCTAGCATACTTTGGAAATTTAGGAGCAAACACAAACTCACTGCTATCAAGAATAGTTTTGTTTTTAATACATGAAGTTTAAACTTTAAACACTCATACATTGCTGGTGGGATTTCAAAGTACTGCAAACTCTCTGGAGGACAGTGACAGCCCCAAGCAAAATTAGAGATATATGTGCTCTGTGAAGCAGCAATGTATCCTCTGGGAATTTACCTTTTAGCTGTTATCTGCACACTTAAGCTCTATGTATATGACCATTCATTGAGGAAGATAGGGGATAGTCCATCTATAGACAATTGGTTAAATAAACTATGGTCTGTCTAAACGTTTAAATGTTATATGACTGTATTAGTTTCCTATTTCTTAGTGCCAAATTACCACAAACTTAGTGGCTTAAAACCACACAAATTTTTTATCTTATAGTTCTGGAGGTCAGAAGTCCAAAAGGGTCTTATGGGGCTAAAAGCAAGGTGTTGGCCTTGCTGCATTCCCTCTAGAGGCTCTAAGGGAGAATCTGCTCCTTGTCTTTTGCAGCTTCTTGGGGCTGCTCACATTCCTTGGCTTGTGGCTACATCACTGCAACCTCTGCCTCTGTCAATACATGTCCCTCTGTGACACTAACTCTCTTGCCACCTTCTTTCCCTTATAAGGATGCTTGTGATTACATTAGGCCCACAGATAATCCAAGATAACCTCTCCATCTCAAGATCTTAACTTAAATCACATTTGCAAAGTTAATTTTACCATGCAAGGTGACATATTTACAGATTCTGTATTTTAAGACATGGACATCTTTGGGGACCATTACTGTATCACCATGGCTGTTTAAAAGTGAAAAGAAAAGAAAGGAAAGGGAAAGAAAGAAAGAAAAAAAAACAAATGAGGAAGCTCTATAATTACTGACATGGACAGATTTCCAGGTTATATTATAAAGTAAAAAAAGCAAGATACAGAGCAGTATATATTTATGCTATATTCTGTATAAGAAAGGGGGAAACGATTTGCTTCTATTTTCTTAAAGGATCTCTGGAAGAATCCGTAAGAAACTAGTAAACGTGGCTATTTGTAGGGGTAAGGGGGGAATAGATGAAATTAGTAGATAGGGCCAGGGGTGGGTTGCAAGACTTTTTATATTTTCTATTTTTTTAATATCTGTAAAACAGGGATCTGTGTACTATTACTTTGTGAATAATCAGAACATTGAGAAAAAATTTATTTTTTTGGAAGGCAGTTAAAAGGTCAAAATAGTAAAATATGTTGGCTACAATAAACTTTTTTGCCTCCCGTCAAAAATACCTACTGAAGGAGAAAAAAATTCCTAATTTAAAATTCTTTTTCCAGTGACTCTCTAAAGTGATATATGATGATAAAGCCTAGTCGGACATTGGTTTTATTATATTTTAAACTCATTTCATCCTCTCAAAATAGATCCATTCACCTATTCAGTAAATATTTACTGAGCATTAGAGATACAGCAGTCAAAAATTCCTGCCCTTCTGGAGCTGACAGCCTTGTGGGGGAGTGCAGATCAAAAACAAGTAAATGTCCTAATAACATAATATGTCGGATGTTGATAGAAGCAATGGAGAAAAATAAAATACAGATGAAGAATATAAAGTGCTAATGGGGAAAATACACAATGTTAAAAGGAGTAGTCTTTGAAAGCCTCACTGAGAAGGTGACATTTGAGCTGAGAACTGAAGGAGGTTAAGTAGTCATATGATTAACTAGAGAAGAGCCTTACAGACTGAGAAAACCAGTACAAGGCCCTAGGGCAGGCAGTTTCTACCAGTGAAAAGCACAAAGGCTGGGACGGGATGATCAAGGGAGAAGAATAGGAGGGAATAAATCAGAGCGGTAGCTGGGAGCCAGATCGAGTAGGGATGTGTTTGTCACCGTAAAGCCTGGGTGCGATAGGAAACCACTGGAGAGTTTTGAGCACAGGAGTGACATGATCTAACTTGTGTTATCAAAGGGACTCTAGCCGCTTTGTTGAATTAGCAGACTATTGAAATGATCCAGGAGAGAGACAGCAATGGACTGAACCCATATGGGGATGGTAGGATTGGTAGGTAGTGATTGGGTTCTGCATATACTTTGAAGGTAGAGCTGACAGTTTTGGCCAGTGGATCACATGTGGGGTGTGAGACAACGAGAGGTGTCCAGTATAATTTTATGGTGAGGACAGATGTTTATGTCTCCTGGGCTTTGAATTTTCTAGGCAATATCTCTTACTATAGGGAATAATAAGTTACTGAGGAAAAGAAAGATTCATCTAAGAACCTAGAACATGTTTTTCTGAACTATCTTATTCTCCATTTCAGCTAAGTGCTTGTTTCTTTCCCATGCCCTCAGACAGCCATGTTTGGGAACTGAAACCATAGATTCCAATGGTGAACCACAGTTTCTGAGGCTGAAGCAACTGATCCTTATTTATCCAAGATTTTTTTTTAGTTCTGGGGAGTTATTATTATTGCTGTTTTCTGGTTGAATGTTGTCGACATGCAGTCTTCTCTGTGATTTTGCCCTTCTCCATCTCAGTATCTTCTCTTGCCATGCTATCTCTCTTGCTACCCTTCAACACCAGACTTCTCAGTTCTTCCAGCAGAACAGATTATATCCTGATCTTTTCATCTGTTTGTTTTCTTTCTCATTCCTCTCGCATGTCCCTGCCAATACACACTAATTGGAATCTCCATAAAGGCAAGGACCATGTTTATCTTGTTTATCATTATATCCCCAGTATTTATCACAATGCCAGGTTTAACATAGGTACTCAATATATATTGACTGAGTGAATGAATTTATCCCTTAGTTCTTGCTGTCTCTTGGTTCTGATCAATTTCCTTAAAATTTGGCAATTTTGTTCTGCCCCTCTGTCTCTTAACTGTCCCGGGTTCTTGATTATTTGTTTGGATCTCCTTGTTTGCTCTGAGAACCGGTATTTCTAAGTTCACCTACCAAATTTCTGCCCTCCTGCTTGTACACATCCTTGTTTTCTATGCATGCCCTGATTTGGACTTCTTTATCTGTTCCTGACCTGTTGCCTTCTAAGACACCTGCCTGATCTAAACAACACAGGCTTTTTTGTTTGGCCCTTTCTCTTCTGACTTTCCTGAAGAATGGTAGAGAAGTAACTCCACATGCCCCCATAAACTCATTTCTAACCCCTGTGGGACTTAGACCTCCTTCCTGGGATGTGAATGATTAGAGCAGGGATGTGCACACTTACAAGGAATGATACAGTGGGTCAACTTGCATTTACGGCTACCTCGTCCTGCAAGGTAATGGGGAAATGCTGGCTGGTTCATCATTTCTCTGGTCATCTTTCAGACTTAGATCTAGCAAGTAACTCTAAAGCTAACCTCAATAGAAAACAACGATGTCTTTTCATTGCCAAGTAAGCCATCTTTATACACTACAGTCAGCCCTCCCTATCCATAGGTTCTATATCCATGGATTCAACCAAAGACTGTGGATCCACAGTTGGTTGAAATTCACAGATGCAGAACCCAGGGATACAGAGAGCTGAGTGTATTATGGATACTTGAGCATCCATGCATTTTGGTATCTGCAGGAATCCTGGAACCAATCCCCCGTGAATACGAAGGGACAACTGTACCTCTGTTTCAGTTTGGATATTCATGGTTCATTCTCAGCTCTTCACATTAGATTTAATCATTTCCATGTAACTGATTCCTCCATTAATCTGTAGAAATTCACATAGTTTCACAGGAATTCAACTGTAATTCCCTGAATGACTTTTTGCCAACAATCTTTATTTATTATACCAATAAATTCTGCAGTAAATAACATTACCATATTTCCTTAACACATTTTTCAATCTTAATATACAGGAAGCTTTGGCTCAAGCTCTTTGGATTGACATCAAGCGCATGAATGACCCAGAATGCTACTTTAATTCTTTGCCAAAAGAGTTAGAAGTGAAAAGAAATCGGATGGTACATTTACTTGAAAGTGTTGGCCTAAAACCCATAGTTCCTGATGGGGGATACTTCATCATTGCTGATGTGTCTTTGCTAGGTTTGTAAAGGTTTTTATTATTTCAAACATACAGAAACTTAAGAGTGAAATTATATCAGAATTATGAAGAAAAGATTGGGTCAAAGCCATATCAGCATTTCACTTATGGAAAAATGGATTTCTACAGTGTCAGTCATCTACAATCATCTTGATGATTAGGTTCTTAACCTTAAATATGACTGTTGTTACATGGTTTGGAGTCGTTTGTTCTGGATATTAAGCATAGAATTTGCTGTCATCTTATTCTGGTATGTGATTTAAAACACAGGTACATGAAATAATATATGTTCCTTGTGTTCCTTTTAGTAAAATTTTAGTTTCCTTTTTACTTAAAAAAATATGATTTCTAGAACATTGATGCTATTGAGGAATACTTGTCATTTTAGAGTATACTGAAATGAAGTTAAGAAGGAAAGTAATATTTATTGAAGGTCTACTACATGCCAAGCACTTTCAGACACTCTTTTGAAAAAAAGCGTTGTTAGCTCCATTTTTTTTTTTTTTTTTTTTTTTGCGGTATGCAGGCCTCTCACTATTGTGGCCTCTCCCGTTGCGGAGCACAGGCTCCGGACGTGCAGGCTTAGCGGCCATGGCTCACAGGCCCAGCCGCTCTGCGGCATGTGGGATCTTCCCGGACCGGGGCACGAACCCGTGTCCCCTGCATTGGCAGGCAGACTCTCAACCAGTGCGCCACCAGGGAAGCCCTGTTTGCTCCATTTTTAAGGACGTGAAGACTTAGAAAATATTAAATAACTTGCCTGAAGTCAGACAGCTAGATTCCAAATAGTTCTGTTTCCAAAAAGCAATGGCCTTTATATTACCTGAAGCTGTTATATGTAATTCTGACATGCCTCACAAATCTAAAGTTAGAAGCATGATAATGTTTTATGTATAACATCTTTCTTCCCCAAAATTCTAGTGTTAGTCATAGTAAATTTAAGAGCATAATTTATTTTGACAGAAATTATAGAAATTACAGCCATTCTGAACAGTTTTAAATATTTTAAGATTTTATTACAATGAAGTGATATGCCACCAAACTTGAAAAGTCTTTTAAATATACCAAATTTTATAAATTTTATAAAGCTAGAAACTTTCAATTTTATAACAAAACAGTGATTGTTATTTCCTCATTTGTCGTGAGAGAAGCAGAGGCCATGGTGACCAGAGGTTCTTGTTCTGCTGTTGCCAGAGAGCTATATTTGTCAGGCTCCCAAGTTCCATTCTTATATAAAACCCTTTATAATGTTCTATATTCTAAGATTTGGAAATCACCTTTCCTGTACTGGGCCTAAATGTGCAGCTCATTTCATGCAGTGATAAAAAGAAATAGCAGTTTTCGTCTGTTTAGGAGAAAATTATTTTATCTGCTTCCAACAAGAATTTGAATTAATTCATATTTAAAGTCTTCTATGCAATAATATGTAAGTAGAAATATTCATATATCAATGTAACATGGAGTGGGGGAAGCAAATAGTTTAGTCACCTAGGTTCATATGGTAGTTGACCCTAGAATAATGCAGGGTTAGTGGTGCCAACTCTCTGTACAGTTGAAAATCCGTGTATAACTTATAGTTGGCCCTCCGTATCTGAGGTCCCTCTGTACATGCAGTCCCTCCTTATCCAAGGTTCTACATAAGTGAATTTAACCAACTCTGGATTGTATAGTACCATGATATTTACTATTGAAAAAAAATCTGTGTATAAGTGGATTTATGCAGTTCAAACCTGTGTCGTTCAAGGGTCAGCTGTATTGTAATTAGCATTAACTTGAATCCAAACTTCATGGCAGCAAAAGCAAATAGAAAAATGGAATTAGTTACATAATTCTTGGATAAAAGTAAACTTAACAGCTTTTTAGATAAGAATAAGTCTTTTCTAGAACCAAACTAAAAGGCACTTATCACATTTTTACATTAAACATCAAAAGGACAGTAATGCAACTTCTGCTTGCATTAAGCTCTTAAACAGTTTCTCATTCTATCCTCAGTTGATCCAGCTTGCATGTAATACTGGTTTAGGTCCTAGATCTTGAACTAGTGTGGTTGTAATAGGAGCAGAAAGGATTTGGGCTAGAAAAACTTTAATGATGATGGGGAAAAAAGATGTGTGTTATTTATGGTCCTCCTTCACCTGTGTGAGAAAAATGTTAGTATCTATAAGACCCTTCTACATATGAAGATGAAGTTCATTTTATTTTACTCTTTCGTCTTCTCAGATTGATTTGAGTGTAGAAATTCTTCCATATACTAGAGGTTGGTCCCACAATTTGCTAAAGACAGAAGCAAGAAACAACACTTTCACTTGATGGTAGCTTAAAAATAAAAATGAGCCAGAAAATTCATGGACATAGTAATTCTCTTTAAAACTCATAGCAATGGCTAACTGGTTAATATTTTTTGAGCATTTATGATCTAGTAGGTATTATGCTAAGAGCTTTACAAATATCACAATTCTCACAAAAGTCCTATGAGATTGGTGCTATTATATCCCCATTGATAGTTGAGAAAGATGAGATAGAAAATCAAGAAATTTACTGAAGTTAATCAACTAATAAGTAGCAGAGTTGGGCTCTGAATCCAGAGATGCATGTCCTAACCAGTGAACTTATCTTTTTTCTGCTATACTAGGCAACTTTCCTGACCGGTGAGCATCATCCTAGAACTAAAAAGGGAAACATTTGATTAGAAGACAAGATTACAAATAAGAAGATTATTACAGTAGTTCTAGTGAGATAAGGTCCAAAGTTAGGGAGGAGATAGTGGGAATGCAACAACCTATTTTGATTCTCATAGGTTACTTAAATAAGCTAGTGCTATTATAATATGGTTCAAATTCCTACCTTCAATAAAGAAATATTTTGTTTAGTTTTTTTGAGAATCTCTGACTCAAGCATTCAAAAGAAGTAGATTCCAACTTTCTGCTAACTATAAAGTCTTTAGAATTGTATTTATTCCCTTATTTTTCTTTGAGCACCATGGCAATAAATTTCTCTTTTCTAAGCGTTACAAGAACGAGTAGTTGTCATACTGAGTGAAGTAAGTCAGACAGAGAAAGACAAATATATGATATCGCTCATATGTGGATTCTAAAAAATGGTACAAATGAACTTATTTACAAAGAGAAATAGAGTCACAGATGTAGAAAACAAACTTACGGTTACCAAGGGGGAAAGCAGGCGTGGAGGTGGGGGGGATAAGTTGGAAGAATTGGGATTGACATATACACACTACTATATATAAAATAGATAACTAATAAGGACCTGTTGTATAGCACAGGGAACTCTTCTCAATATTCCGTAATGACCTATGTGGGAAAAGAACCTAAAAAAGAGTGGATATATGTATACATATAACTGATTCACTTTGCTATACAGCAGAAAGTAATACAACATTGTAAATCAACTATACCCCAATAAAAACTTTTTTAAAAAAATAATAAATGAGTAGTACAGCCTGTGTCAGTTACAGTTAGTAAGTACCCTCCTGTTCTTTCTTCTACTGCTGTAATCACTCCTTTCTCCAGGTTACCTTTGAGTATGCTACTGTTGTGTACTTGTCACTTGGAGTTTTCACATAATTTACAGTTAGACTCTATTTTAAGTTGTCATTTTGTTAGAGCCAAAGCTGAATTAAACATACATACATACATATGACTTGAAATAGTATTTAACTTCTTCATTTGTAAAATGAGGATTGTTGCTTCTCTCAGAATTGTAGGACAAATAAATGAGAGAATCATGTAACATGCTTAACAAATAGTAATAAATTGTAGAGTATTATTAGCATTATTATATGGAAATTTTACATTCTTAAAGCACAGGAGAAAACTGAAATACAATCATTAAGGAAAACCGTATTAAGTCATTTTAAAAAAATACAGGTGAAACTTTCTTCAATGTCAAGGTTTTTACACTGTTAATTTGAAGGGCCCCAGTAGTATTTAGTGAATAAAAGAAAAAAGGTAACTGCCTCAATTTATTTTGAGTAATAAATTGTAAAATTTCATTGATTACAGTAGCCATCAATGTTTGTTGCTTTGGGGCATTCAAAAAGATCTTGAGTACAAGTCAATAAAATCGAAACAATATGAAATGTAGATTGCTGAATCTGAATGCCAGAGAAATATCTTGCCTAGACCTTAAAGCAAGATTGGAACAAGAGATAAGTATAAGAATACATATTTGAAGTTTTTCACCAAATTTAAAAGAAAATTTTTTTAAGCATAATGTTTGGAAGACGAAACAATAGAGATATCACTTGGGAGAACTACATAGGCATTTTCCCTTCATAAATAATGAATAATATTAACGTATTCGTTCTACAAATATGCTTTCCATTACTTACATGCTAGACCCTGACCTAGGAGATGGGGATAGTGGTAGATTGCAATACCCCCGTGGAGCTTACAATCTAATAATGAATTACCATTTGGAGACATAATTATTACAGATAAATACTCTAAATTTAGGTATTTCCTTAATAATGATCATAAAGGCTTATATTATTTTTAAACAGAAAGGCAACACTCTTCTTTGTCCTTCCATTTTCCTACTCTCTTCCAGTGCTAAAAGCTATATACGCAAGCATGATCAATCAGATGTATATGTGAGTACTGCCTTAGAGTATCAGTAAAGCTTCTCTGTGAATTCCTTACTTCCCACCACACTATGCAGTATGAATCCAGCATGAGAACATTTTGAGAGAAAATTTTGAATCTTGATAGACAGATTATTAAATACACATTGCCTCAGATGTAATACATAGGCCATCCAATTTTTATTGTTGTTTTAGATACAGACCTTTCTGATATGAAGAACAGCAACGAACCTTATGACTATAAATTTGTAAAATGGATGACTAAAAATAAGGTAATGTTTATTAGCCTTTGCAATATTGTGCTATATGTTATAATTTATGAAGGAAACCTGCTGACATGCTTTGAAAACTGTTAACTGTAGTTTTGTTACATGATATTCTACTCATAGCTATTTGGAAGATTTTATTTTATTTTTGGCTGTGCTGCATGGCTTACGGGATCTTAGTTCCCTAACTAGGGATTGAACCCGGGCGCTCGGAGTGAAAGTGTGGAGTCCTAACCACTGGACCACTAGGGAATTCCCTGCAGGATTTTTAAAACATTTTTCTTTTGGAAGTTATTGTGAATATTTAGAAGTATCTATTTGTTTTTAATGTTTATGCTCCAAAAATTAATATTTAAAGTGTAAGTAGTTTTCCTGTTTTTCCTATTTTATATTCCTATTTGTTTTTCAGAAATTGTCCGCCATCCCAGTTTCAGCATTCTGTAATGCAGAGACCAAATTACAGTTTGAGAAATTTGTGCGATTTTGCTTCATTAAAGTAAGTTCCCTGTTCTACTCAAAAACACATTTATAATGTCCTTCCTTCTGATTTATAAATCACCATTTTTTTCTGTTGCTAGACATGATGTACTCATATGCAGTTTTTAACTTTTGGCTTGCTGCCGTAAAATTAATCTACCAGAACAAAACTCAGCACTTTTTGAAGTTGAGCTTACTGGATTACAATGTAATCAGACTCCTTACCTGTAACATTACAATGTCCAGCATGCAACCAAACGTTAATACACATGTGAAGACACAAGAAAATGTGACCCTCAATGAAAAAAATGTGACTTCTATGCAGTCAATAGAAATAGATCTTAAGGTGACCCAGATGTAGGAATTATCAGACAAGGACTTTAAAGCAGATGTTATAAATGTGTTCAGGAAATTAAAGGAAAATATGGTCATAACGAGTGACTAGATTAATTAATTTTAAATTCTTAAAAAAGAACCAAATGGAACCTTAAGAATTTTAAAAAGTAATATCTGGGGCTTCCTTGGTGGTGCAGCGGTTGAGAGTGTGCCTGCTAGTGCAGGGGACACGGGTTCAAGCCCTGGTCTGGGAGGATCCCACGTGCCGCGGAGCAGCTGGGCCCGTGAGCCACAACTACTGAGCCTGCACGTCTGGAGCCTGTGCTCCGCAGTGGGAGAGGCCGCGATAGTGGGAGGCCCGCGCACCGTGATGAAGAGTGGCCCCCACTTGTGGCAACTGGAGAAAGCCCTCACACAGAAACGAAGACCCAACACAGCAAAAATAAATAAATTAATTAATAAACTCCTACCCCCAACATCTAAAAAAAAGTAATATCTGATATGAAAAATATATGGGGCTTAACACAGAGGATTGAGGTTGTGAAAAAAAAATGGGTCCACCTGAATACAGATCCACAGAAATCATCCAATCTGAAAAAAGAGGGAAAAATTATTTTTGAAAAATAAGGAGAGTCTCAGATCTATGAGTCAGTGTCAAGTAATAATATACATGTAACTGGAGTATCAAAAAAAGAGAGAGAGAGAGAATGTGGCAGAAAAAATATTTTAAGAAATAATGGCCAAAATTTCCCCATATTTGGTGAAAAGCCACTTAGAGATCTAAAAATTCAGTGAGCCACACAGGATACAAATAAAAATCACGTCTTGACACATCATAATCAAACTGCTGAAAACCAAAGATAATGATAAGGTCTTGAAAGCAGCCAGAGAAAAACTACACCTCACATGCATGGGAGCAAACGTACAAATGTTAACTAACTTCTTATCAGAAACAGCGGAGACCAGATTACAATGAAATGACACCTTTAAAGTGCTGAAATAAAAAATATGTCAGCCTAGAATTCTGTATCCAGGAAAATATCCTTTAAAACTGAAAACAGTGTACATCCCTGGTAAATGAAAGCTAAGAGAATTCAGTACCATCAGATCTGTGCTAAAAATAATCTGAGTGTATTATTGCTATTTTTAACAATTTAGTGATAAGATGTTATCACTACTGAAAACAATCTTATGAAGATTAAGGCACTCTCTATACCTGCACACTCATGTATAAGTCTAGACAGAATGATGTAAACACTGTTTTCAACTTTTAGAGCCATCCTATAGACAAACTATGAGAGACTTATCCAGAATAGAATATAAATCTTACCAGCATAACAATGTCAACATTTAATTGTCTGAAATGTAGAAGAAAGGGTAAGGCCATTAACACTCGCATCTTACAGTGGATCTAGAAACAGAGGTTTATTATTTGAAGTTATAAACAGAACTAACAGAAGAAAAAAGTAGCATAAGACTTCCAGTTTTAGAATGGTAAACACAGCCCTTCCCCATTCCCTTCTTGGAAATTATTAAGGAAACAACTAGGAGAGTGGAAAACAAATTCACAAATCCCCCAGGAAGTGAGAAAGAGTTGCCAAATCAGTGAAGGTAATGGTAGAGGGAAGACACGAAGAAAGGCTTCTGCTTCTACATCTTCAAATTATAGACAGAGCCAACAGATAGCCTACTCATTATCCAGAACAGCAGGAACAGTAAATGCACTGGTAGTGGGAACTTCTCCAGACCCATTTGGCCCCATGGAAGAGGCAGAGTAGAAACATACAGTCATGTCATCTAGCACCTGTGCAAACCAGGTGGAAAGAAAGGGCTGTATAGATTTGCTCTTCACCTCTGTCAGTTTTGCTAAAGCTGTGTTGAGGCAGTGTGGATACGTTAAATTGGAGGGAGCCAATTAAATTAGTTGGAAAGAAAGTCTAAAATAACTCCCTCTCTCTGAACTCTACATTAATCATATTTAACCTTGTGAGCCAGAGATAATTTCTACTCCCTTCTAGTGGTTCCCTGGATCTTCCTTTATACAAACCTGCAAATACGTCTTCAGATCATAGACAGAGCCAGCAGGTAGCTTACTCATTACCCAGAACAATAGGAGCCGTACGTAGGTGTGCTGGCAGTGGGAGCTTACAAAGAGAATTCAATCAAAGATGAGTAATTAAAAGGAACCAGCTATGAATCTAAAAAGATACTATAAGGGGAAAAGGAGAAAGGTACAGTGAAAAACAATATCAGACAGAGAATATTCAACCAAAAAAAGAAAAAAATGTTTCCATAGAGCAAACCAAAAGTGTGATATTTCAAATTCAAAACATGTAAAACGAATTACAGCAGAGATTTTTAAAAGTTCAGGGAAGATAGAGTAAGATAATGTAGGAAGATGAAATGGCAGCTGTCAGAGCTCAGGTAAGAAATTGAAGGGAAAAAATAAAGCTATTGGTAATTGTAGTGACATTGGAAACAGCACAGAGAACACTAAATACTTCTGTAAGCACACTGATGATTGAGAAGAGTGAGCAAAAAGAAGTAGAAAGGAACAAAGAATTTTTTTTTTGGCCGCACCATGTGGCTTGTGGGATCTTAATTCCCCAACCAGGGATTGAATCCGGGCCATGGCAGTGAAAGCGCAGAGTCTTAACCACTGGACCACCAGGGAACTCCCAGGAACAAAGAATTTTAAAATGTTAGAAAAATTACAGACGTGGAAGACAAATGAAATACCTAGAGTTCCTGGAGGGAGTGGTGAGGGGAGCCAGACCAATGGAACTGGGAAAGAATTGTATAGCTTTAGTTTGAGAATGCTTTCCATTGAAAACAAACAAATAAATCTAAAAATGGGAAGGGAATGGCTTGTCTCAGGGAACATTGTCACAGAATAACACTGAGATATGCCTTGTTTTAATCTGTTGGACTTTATAAATGATCCGTTGGCATCTAGACAAGATGATCAAGGCCTCCATGGAGACAGGAGAGGAGGATCAGCGTGGACTCACCGCCTTTGCATCAGCATTCAATATTGGAAGATAGTGGGGCAACACCAAGAAGTCCCTATAGGGAAAGCTGACACACCTCATCCAACCTCTTGGAAAAGCGAAAAATAAAAGGGTGGCAAAACGTGCCAAGAAAGTGGAAATTGAAAGAAAGCAGGTTGAATTTAGGGCAAAACAAACCAAAAGCAGCAGCACTTTACAATGATTATGGGTAAAGTCCTCAGTAGTTGTCAAATATATGAAAGGATGCTATACCTCATAATAAGAGAAAAGAAAATTGCAGTGAAATTTTATTTTTTCTGATAATTTGGAAACAACCAAAACAACTGAAAAGTTTCATAAGATACTCTCATGCATTGATTGAGAGTACGAGTATAATGTGTAAAATCTCTGCAGTGGTTAGTATGAAAATGTATCATCCAAATATAAATGCACATATCTTCTGACCCAGCAGTTCTGCTTATAGGATTTTTTCCTGTGGATTTACTTGTACATTGAATGTCTTGTGTTCGAGGATTTTCAGTGAAGCACTGTTTATAATATCAAAGGATTATAAACAAAATATTCACCAATGAAGGCTGTTTGAATAAATTATGTTACATTCACATCCATAAAAGTGTGAAGCAGCTCCGTGGAGTGATAGAGCATAAGCTAAAAGCAAGGAGCAGACCAGTTTGTGAGGAATACTATCATCTATATAAAAAGAAAAAGGGAGGGAGGGAGATGGAAGCTTTTAAGTGCCTAGACTGTTCCTGGAAGGAGATGTAATAAAATCCCAGTGTTGCCTCTGGGGAGGAGAACTGAGTGGTTGAGGGAGATGGGTGGGAGGCTGGGTTACTTTAAAAATATATTTTGAAATATTCTTAATAAATAAGTTTGAAGAACTGTTTTTCCAAAGAATTTTATATAAGTTCCTAACTTAATTATTGATGCCTCTATCACTCCCAAATACCTTATTATGTATTCCCCATTATACAATATTCTTCTACAGTATAACCATCAAAATCATGAACTTAACAGTGCTATATCATTCTATCTAATCTCAGATCCAGTTCAAGTTTCACTAATTGCCCCAATAATGTCCTTTTTATAACAAACAACCAAGTAAATAAATAAATCCAGGCCATAATCATGTCAGTCAGACAGACATCAGTCAGTCAGTCCAGGCCAGAATTGTGCATTGTATTTAGCTGTCATGTCTCCTTCAAGCTAGAATGGTTCCTCAGTTTTCCTTGACTTTCATGACCTTGATACTTCTGAAAATTGTTGACCAATTATTTTGAAGAAGGTCCCTCAACATTTGTTTGACATTTACTCGTGAATAGACTCAGATTATGCACCTTTGGCAGGAAACCGTGGAAGTGATGCTTTATTCACTGTCTTGCATCCTATCAGCGCATGATTTTAGTTTTTCCTACTGCTTGTAATGTTAAATTTAATTACTTTATTGAGGTGGTGTCTGCCAGCCTTCTCTACTGTAAAGTTTCACTTTTTCCCTTGATAAATAATGAATGTTTTGTGGTGAGGTACTTTGAAACTATGAAAATATTCCATCTCTCATCAAGCAATTTATTTATCTATTCATTCATATATGTAAGGACTCATGGATTCCTGTTTCATTCAGTGGGTTATAATTTATCATTATTATTCCTTATTTTGATGCTCAAATTTCCCCAGATTTGGCCATTAGGAGCCCCTTTAAGCTGGCCTCTGTTTCCTTTGACATGTCCCCATCATTTTTTGAGCATTTCCTTACTTTCTGGCATAGCAAGATGCACCAGGTTCATTTTGTCATTATCTAGCCCAACTTGGAATCACCTTTTAGTGGAGAATGGTATTAAGAAACCAAGATCTGGGCATTAGGAGTGCTCATTGCTGTTGGGGTATTAGTATTCCCAGGCCCTCCCAGGGGACAGATGTAGGGAATATGTAAATGTATATACATACATTCTATGTCTGTGTCTATTCTACTTATATCTATGTCTATCTAAATATATTGAAACCACCACAGAGTTTATTCTAGCTTTCTCCCTATCCATATTTGTCCCTCCCTTCTTTGACAGTAAAACACCTGGCTCATCATGTAACCACTTCTTTAATCAGTACTTCTGTATGTGACCAGTCTCCTGTCAGTGCCACTGCCCCTCCACCCAGCACCCCTGGCAGGCAGCTTTTACCCTACTCAGGCTTTGACACCTCTACCAGGCTGCTGCCCCTGTCCCCTGTATGGCCACCGTCCTCACCTCACCTGAGCTTCAGCACCCCGTGCTGACCTGCTGCTGTCGCTCTTCTGTAGAGATACCCTCCTCTAAGTCTCCAAGGCCACCACTGTCACCCACTGCATAGAAGCCCTCCTCTTCCCTTATGGGCTCTGACACTCCATGCCTGTCTGCGTTGGTAGATACCTGCCTCATCCCCTCCAGGATCCAAGCTGCTTGGAACCACCCTGCCATACAGAGAGGCCTTGCTTACTTACCCCCCTCGACTCTGACACCCTGTTCCTGGTCAGTGCCACCACTGCCATCACCACCACATCATGCCACCAACATTGGAAAGTCTACTCACTCCACTCTGGCTGCAGCACCCTGCACCAGGCTGCCAAGGCTCCCCCTGCCCCCATACATGATCTCCTGTTTCACTCAGCCCCGCGTAATGGCTTTTGGACTAAATCACTCTGCAGAGATGGAACAGAAAGGAAAAGGAGAAGTAGAGAAAGCGGAAGAGAAGTTTATCCATCAATTTAATGTTTTACCATATGTAGATATTACCTATTCAAAAAACAAATGAATTTTATCAATACAGTTGACCCTCAAACAGTGTGGGAGTTATAGGGGCTTATAACTGTGAGACTTAGATGGGAGGGGACAGAATAGTGTGAATGAACCAATTTTTCCTCATTCAGAGCAGAGAATGGTGAACATTGTCAGAAGCTGATAAATAAAAAATTAGAAACACACATTATTTAGATTTTGTGACAACCACTAGAACTAAAACCAGAAATTGCCATAAATTGTTGTGCTGGGGGATGGTGGGAGTAGGAAGGGGTGGGGAGGGAAGAAGCAGACGATTATTTTTCAATGTAAACTCTTCTGTACTCTTTGACTTTTTTCTGTAATTGTGTATTAATTTATTCCTCCATTCTTGCTCCGCCTGGCATCCCCTGTGTGTTGGGAGCTAAGGGAGGGATTTTCTTCTGTTGTCTAGAAGCCTCTTTGAAAGAGGTCTGTGATTTTGTATACTTCCTACCCAAATGGACGAAACAGTGAATATGGATCCCATCAGCACATCCTTCAGACTCTCCTCCTGCATCAGTGTTACTTAGGAGTCTGCGTCTTTGGTGCTGCAGGCCACTTGGGCTGCCACAAGTGGTTATGAGTGAGGACATGGTTTTGGCTGGGATCAGGTTAAACTGTTTTCAGTCTGAGCTGTATATACAGTTTGTCAATCTTTTTTTTTTTTTTTTTTTGGTGATGCTCTTTGGCCCTATACTGGTTAATTTGTAGATTTCTTTGGTGTCAGGAAAGTAGTAATAAAGTGCCCTGAATTGGCAGCCAGCATCACAAAACAGTATGACGTAGTGATTGCCGTGATGCTCCTCTAGCTCCCCTAACATTTAATTCTTGTGAGGTTCATTCACTTTTCTAGCCTGACAGCAATGGGATATAGAATTATAAATAATTGGTTTGTTTGATTTGCTACTGGGCTCCTTAAAGAGCTCGGGACTTGTGTATTTGGCCACCAAGGCAAGGGATGTTGCTGTGTGTTCCTGCTCTGTGTTCCTGCTGAGATTAAGTGGCTTAGTATGGGGCAGAGCTTCCAGTGACACAACTCAAGGTGTCCCCCGCCCCTACCCCCACCCCATGAATGCTCTTGGGCTCTGTCTTAGCTGCAGAGGCCAAGGACTGGCTGGAGCCCATCTGGGCCCAGCTCAAGTTATCAGGGGTTGAGAAGCACTAGGTTCCCAAATCACTACATGACTGTTACGGATGGACTGATTTTGGTATATTTTTTGTACTTAAATCTTAATTTCACCTTGAATTTATTTTGATATGTAATGATGATTATTTCATTAATTTCCAGAAAGACAGTACACTGGATGCTGCTGAAGAAATCATCAAGGCATGGAGTAGACTGAAGTTTTGATACATGCAAACTGCATTGTTTCTATTAAATGACCTAGTATGGAATTATTTAGTACTGCTACTTGCTGGGTATTGAAAAAAAAATTTCAGTACAAATGAAATTTAAAGGACTATTTCCATTGTTAATCCCACTCCTGACAATATTCAGGAGATCTGATTTTTTTTTCAGCTGAAATGCATTAAAACACCTTTTAGACCATTTTATGAATCAGTATAGTGCAGTGGTAAGAACTGTGAGATGCTGGTTGATGCTTAACCTCTCTGCGCTTCAGTTTCCTCATAAAAGGGGAATAAAAATAGCACCTACTTTATATGAAGCTTGTGAGTTGTTTGTGAGGATGAAATGGACTGATGTATGTAAAGCCTGGCAAACGATAAGCACTCAGCTACTCTTGGCCAGTTTCACTTCTCTGCCATTGCGTGAAAACCCTTAACCAGTTACATCCCCCTCAACTCTGTATCTTTGCTTTGTCTCTACCCACCTGTAGTTCTCTCCCCTTCACTTACTAACGGCTTTGAACTTTGCTCATAGTTTTGCCTCTCTGTTGCAAGTACTGCCATCATCTGGGATGGCTTCAAGGTCCCCATGGATTACCTAGGCTTTTGGTATTTTGACCTCCTCACCTCTGGTGATATTCACCTCTACTCCACTCTCCACTTCAGCCACCCACTCCCTTGGGCATACCCTGAACCTTTCATCATTTCAGGCTGTTCCATCTTTGAGATAATAAGTTAGTCATTTCACACTGTAACCAGCTATTCTTACACTAAGTTTCCCCTTGGCCAATATTTCCCTCTCTTTCCATCTCTCTCTCTCTCTGTCTCTCTCTCTTTCTCTCTCTCACTCAGCTCCTCTCAAAATATTACTTTAAACTATCATTTCAAATCTATTCTCTATCCGCTATTTCTCAAAAATTGGTCCATGGCCCTCTTACATCAGAATCAACTAGGATCTTTGTTGAAAATAGATTTTGGTCTTCACCCCAGACTTACTGAATAATAATTTCAGAATCTGGCCCTTTCCAGGTGATTCTTATTCCCACTAGAGTTTGAAAATCATTGGTGTAGTCTGTAGAACTTTCTATCAGTCTCTTTGTATCTTCACTCCCTTCCATATCCAGGTTAGATTTCATCATCCATAACTTCAGCCAAGATACTTTTGCTGCCTTGAATAACTTGCTCATTGTTCTAGCTCACCTACCTGGTCAAAATAAATAAATAAATAAATAAATAAATAAACAACTCATCCCTGGGGTTGAAGCTCCATGCTTGCAGCTGGGCTGCTGAGCGCTGCTGTAGCAAAATGCATAATTGGGCAGGTTCTAACAACCATGAATGCACGTCACTGACCTTAACTTGACTTAATTCTTCTGTGTTCCCCTAGTGAGCTTTCTCTACATTTTACCACAACAGCAATTCCTAATATTCTTCCATTCTCCATAGTAAAAATATCCAGCCTTCTCCATTCTCCTAACACCTCAAAGCCCACCACTGCCAGTACTATTAAATGACCTAATCTCTTGCTTCTGTGAAAAGCAAAATTTTAAAAAATGAAAAAGTAGGAACCACCAGACCAGCACTCCCAGCTGGGATTCTACCAATAAGTGAGTCTATGACATCTACATCAGCATCCATCCTTTCTTTATTGCCCCCAGGGCCTGGGGACAGTGGGGAGGATTGGTGGTTAAGCAGATCCAGAAGGAGGCCAGGACCTCAAGAGCCAACTATTGCATAGCAAAACAAATTCCATGTGAAAATTGTGCCTGTCCACTCGTGTGGGGGACTTGATAAAATTTTCACCAGGGTTTAAATCCACTCTTTGCAGCCTTGGACTTGTCCAGTGCTAATCCCACCACCTGTACTCTGGATCCCATGTCTTCTCACATTCTCAGGGACTTGGTTTAGCCTATTCTCTTATATCTTCAGCCTCTACTGGATCCCTTTCTCAACAGTCAGATACTTTCAAATCTCTCCCATCTTAGAAAATCCTTTCCCTGATTCTATCTACAACCCTATTATCTCTTCCTCTTCAGGGCAAAATTCCTTCCTTCCATTTTTTTCTCTCTCCCTCCTGGCCTCCCTCCATCCTTCATTTTTTCCTTTAACAAATATTCATTGAACTCCTAATATGTGCCAGGCACTGTCCTAAGATATTCAGGCGCTTAGGATATATCAGTGAACAAATGAACCAAAGATCCCTGCCTTCTAGGACTCTCCTAGATAGGGGAGAGACAATAACTAAATCATAAACATAATGAAATATATTGTAAAACTTATACATGGCAATTGTATGAAGAAAAGAAGTAAGGCAGGGTAGAGGTTGGAATGAGAGTTTTAGGGAAGCAAATTGGAATTTTAAACAGTGTGGTCAGGTGGGTCTCATGGAGGGGACATAGAAGCAGACTTAGAAGAAGAGAGGGAGAGAGCCTTGTGAAGATCTTAGGGAGGAACATCCCAGGCACAAGGAATAGCCAGTGCAAAGGCTCTATAACAGGAGGGTGTCTTATATTTGATGAATACCAAAGGTCTGCTGTGGCTGGATGGAATAACCAAGGGATGGAGTAGCAGGTATTAGGCCAGAGAAGTAACATAGGACCTCAAGGACTGGAGTAAGGATAATGGTTTCGTGCTAACCTATCTGTACCTTTTTTTTTTTTTTTGATATGTAAAATAATGTTTATTGCAGCATGGTTTATAATTCCTCCAAACTAGGAACAACCAAAAAGACATGAGACTGGGTACGAGCGCCAAATATGTCAGTATTAGCAACTAAAGGGGACTGATGACCTAGCTCTAGATTTTTGAGAAATTTACTGCGAAATGGAATAACTTGAAAAAGTTTTCCTCATTTGATGATTTCACTTTCTCACACACAAACACACACTCCTCACTTACCCTCAACCCGCTATAGTCTGGATTCCATACCCATTATTGTTCTAAGTTCTCTAATGACCTCCATGTTCTTAGGTTTAAAGGAAACGTCTCAGTTCCATCTGGCTTTACCTCTAGTAAAATACCTGCAGTATTTACCACTGCAGGCCGCTTGGGCCTTCCTAAAGCCTAATTTTTTTCTTTTTTAGATCCTGTGGTGCTGCGTGTTCATCACTCTCCCCTTCTTCCTTCATCTCCTTTGCCTGTTTCTTAGATATTGGTATTTTGTCTTTCTCACTAAATAACTTCATTTACTCTGTATATGCTAGTGACTCCTAAATCTGTAACAGCCTAGTTCCATCTGTTGAATTTCACATCCAGTATCCCATTCGTCATCTCACATAGACATTTTATAGGCAAGCCCTATTCAATCTGGGTTCCTTATCTCAGTGAATGGTGCCACCAATCCAGTTGCTCAAGTCAGAAAACCTACAAGTCATTTTTAACTTTTCTCCCCACATCCAAATCCTCTATATAGTACCCTGCCTCTCTTCAATCCATCACTTCTCTCTGCTCCAATTGCCCCCACTCTGGCACCAACCAATGTCATTTCTCAACTAAATTACTAGTCAACTCTTAACAGTTCTCCCTGTCTTGCTCCTTGTAACTTATCCCTGTGGCCCAAACAAGCTTTATAAAATGCAAATGTGATCATGTTACATATATTAGTTAAGATTATTCCTGTTGCAAGTGACAGAAAGCCTAGCCTGTACGGGTTTAAATCAAATAAAAAGGAATTGTCTGCCTCAACATTTTAGGAGTAGTCTAGTTTCAGTTACAGCTTGATCCAAGACTCATATTGTAATATATCACCAAGCTCCATTTCGTAGTTCTGTCTTCTCTGTGTCAGCTTTATCTCCACGTTGTACCTCCTGGATAGAAACACGGCTACAGCAGTTTCTGAGCATCATATGGTGACAAATCCAGCAAATCCAGCAAAAGAGGACACTTTCTCCGAAGCTCCAGCAAATGATATATTGTGTCATATTGGCTCATTCCTGAGCTATCCGCTGAGGCCAAGGGGATTGGACATGCTAACTAACTTAGGTCAATCCAAGGTCAACTTCACATGGACTACATTGGTTGAAAGAAGGGACAGAATGACAAAGGGAGGAAATGGATGAGAAAATGTCTTAAGTGACTTAAAATCTTTTACTCTCCATTGCTCTTAACATAAATGAGTTTTGTTGCTGTTTTGTTTTGGGTTATTTTGGTGTTTGGGGTTTTTAGACGATCATTCTCTGATGCAAACCATTTATTTATTTGTTTATTTATTTATGGATGGCTGCGTTGGGTCTTTGTTGCTGCGCGCAGGCTTTCTCTAGTTGTGGCGAGCGGGGGCTACTCTTTGTTGTAGTGCGAGGGCTTCTCATTGTGGTGGCTTCTCTTGTTGTGGAGCACGGGCTCTAGGCACGCGGGCTTCAGTAGTTGTGGAGCACGGGCTTAGTTGCTCTGCATCATGTGGGACCTTCCCACGGGCTTGAACCCGTGTCCCCTGCATTGGCAGGCAGATTCTTAACCACTGCGCCACCAGGGAAGTCCCGCAAACCTTTTTTTATTAACATCGTTATTGGAGTATAATTGCTTTACAATGGTGTGTTAGTTTCTGCTTTATAACAAAGTGAATCAGTTATATATATATATCCCCATATCTCTTCCCTCTTGCGCCTCCCTCCCTCCCACCCTCCCTATCCCACCCCTCTAGGTGGTCACAAAGCACCGAGCTGATCTCCCTGCCACAAACCCTTCTTGATTGAGGAAAGAATGAGTTCATTACTTAGTCAGGTAAGGGAATCACCCCTGAAGGTCATTTCTCCTCAGTCACTCAGACTCTCCTCATCAGGGCTTACAGTGCCCTGTATGATATGGTCTCCCTCTTACTCCTCCAGTCCATCTTTCCCATCTTTTCCTACTCAAATGTCTAGTCTTACTGAACTCATTTCAATTTCTAAATGAGCCCTATGCTCTCTACCTTTTAGCAGATGTTATTTCCTGACATTCAGGCATGGTTAATGTAGGTGGTATATTGGTGGTGCTTAATTTTATGTGTCAACTTAGCTGCACCATGGTGCCCAGATATGTGGTCAAACATTATTCTGGATGTTTCTGTAAGGGTGTTTTTGGAAGAGATTAACACTTAAATCAGTAGACTTTGAGTAAAGCAAATTGCTCTCCATAATGTGGGTGGGCCTCATCCAATCAGTTGAAGGCCTTAACAGAACAAAAGACTGACACAGCTCCCCCACCTCCCCTCCCCAA